TTTTTATTATTATTTTGAGACATTATTTATTTATTTATTTATTTATTTTTGTGTGTGTTTACAGGAGCGGTGGTGAGACTGCGATGTAATAACACGAAGTACGAGCTGGTGGAGCAAACCAGGACCGATAAAAATGGCTACTTTTTGTTCATGCCTCTGAAGCTCACGACGATGGCGTTTCACAAGTGCAGGGTTCACCTGGTGTCGTCCCCGATGGGCAACTGCAGCGTCCCCACCAACTTCCACGGCGGGGTCTCCGGCGCAGCCCTTGTCCCCAGCCCTACACCGCCGGCTAAGCCTGTGCCTGTCCAGTTCTTCAACGTGGGGCCGTTCGCCTTCGAGCCTCACAAAATTCTGCCATGTCGTCACTATTAGAAACTTTTTTTAGCTAGTGAACTAAAAAATCGTACTATGATTTTAAATTAGTCCACGTCAAGTCGGAGACCTCTTGCGTACTGCGTCGTTTTGTGCTTTGGTCTTTGGGATGCTTTTGTTGTACGTCTTGCAAAAATATTTTGAAGCAGAAATTTGAATTCGGTTTTATAAGAGCATCTTTAAAGGAAGGTTTTGATGAGGTTTACAAACCTCACTTTTCAGCTTTAACCATTATAATGGCAAGGTTTGAGGTTTAGAAAATTTATTCAGGTTTGACAGTATAAACCTGCTTTAAACCTCTCTTTAAAAAAAACAAAAAAATAAAACAATACTATTCAAAGAGGAGAGTGACTGCACTCATTAAATCTTCAGCACAAAAAATATGGGCGTGTGTTACAAACGCCAGAAACCAAGTGAGGCACTGCTGGCCCACCTCTTTTCCCACAATGTCCCCCACGTTTTTATATCTCATTTTTTTTTTCTTAATAATAATAATTTTTGCTTGTATTTTTGGTCCTCCTGTTTCTTTTTACTTAATCTATATGGTTTTGTTTTGCATTTTTAATTACATTGTTAATATGAAATTCTAATTCTGGTTCATGAAATATGAAATCATTTCTAAAATAATAAATATTAATAGTAACTATAAATATACCTAGTTAATAAATATGAAATTGTTTTATATAATTTTATATACTTATGTACTTTATATACAATTAAATAAAACTAATTAATGGAGTTATAATTTTAAAATATTAATAAAAATATAAAGGCATAAAATAAATAAAAAGTAAGGAAAAACATGTGGGACCCAAAAAAGAAGGTTTATGAGGTTTATGGTTATTGGAGATTTATAAGTGGAGAAGTAAGAATGAGGTTTTAGATGATGTGACATCTTGAAAAGTGTAAAAGGAGGTTTATAGAGGTTTATGACTAAAGATGCTCTAAATGTTCCGGTTTAAAGCCATAGCCTTCTGGATTTGTAACCGCGCGACACGATATATTTAAATTTATAAGTTTTTTCGACTAACCTCCACTAATAAGTAGTAATGACAAAATCAAATAAAATGAGAGAAATCACGTTTTCAGTTCAGTTTTCACCTAAATGTACCGTTAATTAATTTCGACGTTTTTACTAAATTGCCAAAGAATTTATCAACTATATATAGCCAACAACAAGCTCTATAAATCGAATTATTTCTTACTGAATATTCAATCGAAATAAGTTTTTCGACTAAACCTAACTAGTGGCAACTTGGAATAAATTCTCTAGACTTAATACACTAGCACCATTAAATCGTATGAAAATAGATTAGTCTAAAACCCAACCCTCCCACTTCCTTAGGGCGTGATTGTATGTGCTTTCAACAGTAAATATTCCATTCAAAATTCAAATTTAACTAAACTTTAACTCAATTCCACTATCTTCAATATAATTAAATAATATCAACCAATCATTATTACACATCACATCAACTTTAATTCACTATTCATCCACTCACATAATTTTAACTAACCATCACTTCCAATCATTTTCTCATACTTTTACATCAAATCAACTTTAATTATTTTAATTTAAATATTATTTTAATATATTCACTAACAACTAACCATACTACTTTTTTTCAAACTTAATTATAGTTAAAAAAATTAATTTTTTACTACTTGAATTCATATCCAATCACCCCCTTATATTTCATTAACCTATTTTAACTAGCCTAGTTAAGATTGCTACCCCGAGTCTCCGATTCCCCACCAGATTTTAACAATATCATGCAAATCTATATATATATAAAGAGGGAGTTGATGAAATTGAGGTTACTAATAATAAATGTAAATGCTTCTTTTGGAAATGGTATCAACAATATTTTTGGAAACGAATGTATAATTAGTATGTTTGTCTTTTTAGTTTATTAAATCATTCATGATAATTAATTATCAATTTAATATAGAATGAGTATTTTATATGACTTGATAATTAATGATTCTCATAATTAAATTTGATTTTTAAAGGCATTGTAGATGGCGATAGAATATATTTCTGAATCACAAAATAAAAGTAAATAATCTATATAAATATAAAAAGGTTTGACATTTACCTAAAAAAGTAACTATTTTCCCGCCTAAAGAATTCAATTTTACTTCTTTTAGTAATTTTTTTTGAATTTTTTTTGTTATGGCGGTCATTTTTAAAATTCAAATTAAATCAGTCAATAAATATGTACAAATTTGATTTGGTCAATAAATGCGGCTGAATGTATATTGTTTGAATTGTGTGTGATACTGTTGATACGAAACTAAAAGTAAATTAATAAATTAAGATTGTATGTATATGTCTAATATGGCAATTACAAATAAGTTATGTAAGTAAATATCATAACAAAATATTTTCCCATAATATCTTCCCATCCTCGAAATTTCCTTTCCTTTGCAATAATAGAGCAAAAAATCTGCATTATTTTATCACAATAAAAAAACATGTGGATTAAATATCAATAACAATTTGATTTGGCAAATCCACAATATATATTTCGAACGTATATTTCTTTTTCCAAAAATCAGAAAGGAATCAGATATACGTCTAAAAATATGGTCAAACACCTATAAACTCTTATAAATGTTGTCATTATCTCATAATTTTTTTTTTATATTCTGTTTTGAGCGATTGAACTTCTGCAGGTACAAATAATTTCACTCATCCCTTTGTTATTCTCTCATATACATGTCATCCATGCAGATATTATATTTTTGCACACCTTTGAGAAAGAGTAACTGTAGATTTGTCTTTAGTTCGAGTAGATGTATATGAAAAATACATTGTTTTGTTTTGATTATGTATATTTGTATATATGTTATGTTGTTTTCTATATAAAAATCAGTTCTAATGTAGATGTTCTAAAAAAATTGCAAGGGTTCAAAGGACTGCTATGAAAGATGAAGGATACCACAGGTGGAAAAAAGGCAAGCTCGGAAACAAATCACCATACGGTAAAAAAAAAAAAAAAAAA